TTAAATTGTCTAAATCATTTAACCATGTTTTATCTTCTTGTAATCCTTGTCGTATAGTTAAATGTAATTTATGAAGACTATCAAAAAAAAAATCAAAGCAAATTTTCCTTTTCTTTTAATTATTTTCTCTAACCTTTCTCTCATAACATGAATATTTTGTATATTTTGAAACTCAAGCTCACAATCTGGATAATCTTCATATCCACCACCATTAGCTTTATTAGCTATTGCATTTACTTTTGGACGTGCATCAAGAATAACTAATTTTGAACCTTGATTTACATTTGTATTTGCTATTTCACGTAAATAATCAACATCATCTTGACATTTACGATTAAGACCAGTTAATGGTTGACTTGATCGAGTTATTGTCACATAAGTTTGACGACAATACCAACTAAGAACCTGTTAAAATAAATTTTTAAATTATAGAAAAAAAAAGAATTTTATTTTTTTGAATATACTGGAATGCGATTTCGACTACGAAAATTAGCAACAGATTGTAATCTAGATATATCAAAATTGGATGGCAGAACAAGAGTATCTGGATACGTATCACAAAATGTATAATTTTGATTGATTTCATTATTTATTATCCAATGTGCATCACCATTTAGTTGAATACCCTGAAGAAAAATGTTTTGAATTTGACAAAAAAAAAACATTTTTTTTTTAAACAACTTACCATTCTTGTATAATCTTTTACTTTATTATACAATTTCCAGCCTTCATCGATCTTATCTGGACACATTTTCTTCTTATAATTCCAAGCAAAGAAAGACTAAAACGAGAAAAAAAACCTATTAAGAATACTGATATATTTTCTCTTTAGAATAATTATTCCTTTGAGATTCATAGTATACGAAAATTCATAAAATCTTCAATTCAAACATTCGAATTGGATATATGACTAGAAAACCTTTTTTTCATTGATGACGATTATAAATAAGTTTGTTCACTGGATAAACAACTATGTCATAGAACCAGGGTTCTCGAGTAGAAAGACTTCTTCTCTCCCCAAATGTTCGACTTTTCGCCAATTTTTTACAGTTTCATGATAACTTTAGGTAGAAATCGGATTTTGAAACATCACTTGTCTTTCTCTGGCAGAAAGTTGAATAAAAATAAATAGATAATGTCGTTTCCAGGTGAATAGAGTCGGGAAAGGGACAGTCTGGTAGCACGTCGTCTGTTGTACAAAGGGCAACAACACAGTGAGTTGTGTTCTTCACCTCTTCCCATAAAAAGTATTGCTAACTCTGCATAGAACAGCGAAGAAAATGTTCTTTTAATTGTCTCATGACTATAGATTTGTGGAATCAAAATTTTAAAGTTTGCCAGAACTACGAGAAAAAAGTTGTCTCAACCGAAACAAAAGATTCTAGTTAAATATTATATGGTTTTAAGTTTCATGAAATGCACTAATCCTTCTTACAATCAAAACCTCAATATAAAATTCTGTAAGTTAATTCTTTCTTAAATATTTTGTTTGATAATTAAACCTTAGTAAAAAAGAAAACAATAGAATTCTACAAAAAAAAATAAACTCCTGAATCTGAATAAAGCAAAGACTCTATTCTTTGACTTCTAAAGGCGATACTATTCTGTAGGATTTATTTATAATAGAAAATAAATTTTTCTTACACTAAAAAATGCTAATGGTTTTGTAATATCTTCTTTACAAATTGAAAATGGAAAAATCAAACGATTTAAATTATCCAATAAATTACGTCGTTGATTTTGTTCTTTAGTATTACCAAAAAAGAAATGCCGAAGATCCTAATAGAAAAAACAAATTAACAATTCTTTTTTCCTTAGTAAAATAATTCTTGTTTTGTTTGTTTTTTACTTTACAAATAATTTCAATTCCATATGCATAACTATCACTTATATTACTACGTGTTTGTCCACCGATTTTTTCTATCTGACTGATCATTCCTAATGGTACATCAACAAGAATCTTCAATGAGAAAATAAAAAATAAATATATCAAAAAGAAAAATAATAATCTTTTATCATACTTGATCAGATTCTGATGATTTTGTAACAAATAATAAACGATATTTAGTTAGAATTAATTCACCTTGATGTGTTACTTTGTGTTTATGACTACGATAAGTCATATCTAATAGAAATAATGTTTTAACTTTAACATTAAAACTTTGATTTTATTTATTTTTTTTTTTACATTCTTTTAATTTCACATCTTCTTCACCAGGTAAAAAATCTATCGGTAATGATAATTCCTTTGTATGTGCAACAGTTGGTTGTTGTTCTGGAATTGACACTGCTGTAGTTGAGCCTATTTGCCCGTGTAAAAAACTCTAAAGAAACACGCACATAATTCAGCTATTTCAAATAGTGAAATCAATCATAGTAGAGAGCAGCGAACGAATACAAAAAAAAACATTTTTTATACGATCATATATATACATATATATATAATACACTTACAAAAGTTAGAGGTAATAAATCGAGTACCTATAATGAATGATAAATATGAGATTTATATTAAAAAAAAATTTTTTTTATTTAAAACTTACGCTTATAGCTGATGAAGCATTATAATATGGTGATGAAGCAATATATTCACTTGATGATAACATTGATGAACTATCATCTTTAGCACCAAAACTCATTTGACCAGCACCATGAGATGTTGGTTTAGAATGAATAACTTTTGATATTGGATTTAATGAAATATCTTCATGACTATTTGAACGTTTTGGTTTGTTCATTGTATTATGACGAGCATCACGAGCCATATGGCAATATTTCTTCTAGTTTCTATTTTTTTTTGTATAACTATAATAAATAGATCGAAGATAGTTAAGAATATAAGTGAAAATAAAATATAAATAAGTAGATGTGTAATATATGGAGAGAAATATCGTTGAAAATGGATGATAACAATTATTGAGAACAATTTGTTTTTTTTTCAAACAAGAGTTAAGAAAATTATTCTATTTTTTAAAATGAAAATTTTTTTAGATTTTATTAAATAAAAAAAAATATTTGAAAAAGTTGTTTTCTGTTTAATTTTATTTGTTTAAAAAGATGTCACTAATAAACGGAATACGAAAAGTGTATGAGATTTTTATTGAGTCTACCAAAGGCAATATTATCTTTCAAACATAATTATTAATTCTAAATGAAGTGTCAACTTGATAATATATTGAGAAAAAGTCAATTTCCATCAAAAAAATGAATATTGAGATAAATGCATTGGAAGATAATTCCGAAGCCTGATCTTTCATAGACAGTATGACTTTTTGTTTGACATCTGGTTTATGATGATTTTCGTTACCTTCTGCTTGAAAAATATGTTTTTTTTTTCATAAAAGATGAGAAATCTTTTTCGCTTTTTCCTTTATTTATGCTTTTTTGATTGCACATGGCAAAGTTCTCGATGAGTCTTCGTTTATTATATTTAATTTATTTTGTTTGAAAAAGTATGTGAAGATGTAGGACATGATAGAGTTCCTTTTTTTTTAATTAAGTGTTGTTACTATTGTATAAAAGAGTACTTGTATAATTAGAGCTCCATTTTTTGAGAGTTTTTCGAGATACTGAACTTTTCATTTCTTTTCTCCTCTTAAAAAAAAGAGCTTTGCCAGGCACTGCTTCTTAGTATACACTCTCAGAAGCAAAAAGAAAGTTAATATATAGAATGAAGACCTACAGAGAATTTCGAGTTGTTAAATGAACTATTTTTGACTCTTATTTGTTGAATATCTTTCGAAAACAACATGGTACATAGCTGAAAATTTTAGCATAGCTTCTGCACTGCAGTTCCAATGTATCTTAAAAATTTCATGCGAGTTGAATGTATCTGACTCAGGATAGATTTTTGAGGAAGTAGTCTTATACACATAGTTTCTTCTTCTTTTTTTTTGAATTTATTTAACAAAAAAAAATTGACCAGTTAATAATGAGAAGTATTGTTTTATTTATCGAAATCTCAATCGAAACATTGGTTGTTGCTGAATAAATCTTGGTGATCGCATTGGTATAAAGTTTCGTTGTCTACGACATCTATCAACTATCATAAAATTAGGATTCATCAACATTCGAAATGATGGTCTAGCTGAAAATAATATTGGAGTTGTTGTTGGATGCTGTTGGTGTACACGTTCACGAGGTGTTCGACGAAATTGAACTTTTTTCTTAAAAACTTTATCGATATCATTTGCCGATGACGATCGATAGAGCTTTGGTACTGTCTTATGATCTTGGTGTAAGCGATGAGAAGAAAGCGATGATGATAATGACGATGATGATGAGAAACTGTTATGACGAGATGATGATGGAACAGATCGATGATGATGATGATGATGAGGAAGAATATCGTATCCAGCTTTCGTACGAGTTTTATCTACTGCTTTGAAAAAACTCTCTGGTAATTCATATTTAAATGTATCAGTAGATGATTTAGATTGATTATTTTCGTTGTCTTTAATGAATTTGAATGTTGAATTTAATAAACGATGTATAAAATTAGATTTTTGTTCGTTACTTTTCTTCATATTCAACATCGTCGTTGTGACCGACTTTATTTTACCCGATATTAATATCACTATCTCTCTCTCGTTGATATTCTCATTTACTCTTTCTTCTCATCTTTTTTCTTCTTGTCTTCAATAGTTAGATATACACACTATCAGAGATGTGAAGTAACCAAATAAATATTACTAAAGGCGAGAGTAATGGTTACACATCCGGTTGATCATACATCTTTTTCTTCGTTACATTCATCCGTAATATATAATCAATGAAGCACGAATCAAATCGAACATTATTATATCAACCAGACAGTTTATCATGATTTTATACAACAACGTCTATATAGCAATAAATCATTAATCAAAAAAGAAAAAAGCTTTTATTCAAGAGAAAAGAATAGCTATCAAGTCGACATTGAAATAAAAAACCTTGTTATATAAAAGAAGAAAAATACGTTTGATACGAATATGTACGTCTGGGTTTTATTATTTATATGTATGATAAGCACCATTGCTCAAGATTTAAATACATTTGGTATTGGTCTATCTAATCATTGGTTGTATCCAACAGAGGTATTTATTTTCAAAATAAAAATATCAATCTATTACTAAGATTATTTTTTGATTTTATCAAGAAAAAAAGAAATTTTCAAGGTTTATTAAGTTTTCAAAATAACATTTCTTTTATTTATAGACTGAGCTCTTTAATTATACCCTGTCACAAGGTTCAACTTTTGGTGTTCTTACTCATTTTTGGACAACTGGTGATCCAGGTAAGTTTTTTAATGATATTTTTTTAAATAGATCATTTTCATGGTTTGTTTTAAAGCAATTGATGAATCTATTTTTTCATATTATATCGATGGAGAACATATACCATCAATACAATTTGTAACATATATGTTAGTTGGAGCTGGTTTTAATGATCAAACTACACCATGGGGAACTAAATGGATTGGTAAAGAAGCAAAAAATGGTGGTTGGTATAATAATTTGTAAGTTTATATTTCTTATTTTCAATTAGAATTTAAATTTGATTGATAGTCGAGTACCATTTCAAAAATCTATACGAATTACTGGTAAATTACCATTAACAAAAACTAATCGAAAAATGATTGGGATTATTTTACGTGGTACAGAAAATTTACCAACAAATTTTCATGGTTTTCAACTTCCATGGAATGCTCGTTTAATTTTACATAAAATTGAAAATCAAACTTATAATCCATTATCATGGGTACCTCTTGTTGATATATCTAGTGGTCAAGGGCTACTTTTTTCACATACATTAGCTGTTATTAGTGGTAATCTAAATTTTCTTGAAGGTTGTTATCATGCTTATACAAAATATGAACAAAATTTTCCAGGTTTAATTGTTTCAACAGGTACAGAAGATTATTTTGATAGTGCTTTTTATTTTAATGCTGGACAATATCATAATGAAATATCTGGTTATACACATTATAAAGAATTATCAAATAATATATATGAATGGTCAGCTTATCGTTTACATGATTTAGATCCAATATTTTTTACGAATGGTTTTCGATTTCAATGGAGAAATGGTGATGTTATTGATGATGATGGATTTAAATGTATTATTAATCAAGGTGGACATATTGTTGGAGCACCGACTCAATCAATTGTAACATCATATACATGGATTTATATATGGTAAAATTCGAATCATTTTCTTTTTTTTTTATATAATTGTAACTATTATTTTGATTATGTCATAATAAAATTTAGAATTTAAAAAAAATTTTATAATTAAAGAATGAAATTGATTATTATAGAAAAAAAATGATTTTTTATTATATGAAGTAATAATTTTGTTAAATTTAAAAAAAAACTTTACTAAAAAATAAGCGCTCCTGGGTGGGCTCGAACCACCAGCCTTCCGGTTAACAGCCGAACGCGCTAACCAATTGCGCCACAAGAGCACATACAACTATGGTTTCATTTTTTATATCAATCATACCTTCATTTAACTTGCTAACAAAGATATCAATATTACTGAAATATATAATTAATTTAAGATTTAGATAAGAAAATTTTCATTTTTTAAATTTATTGTAAATATCGAACCGGGTAAGAATGTTAATGCATAAATAGAAAGAACACATAAGGATGAAGCAATGATAAAATATATGATAATAATAGTACAATACAAACAGACTTACAATGCTCTATCACAGCTAAAAGGATATTTCAAATGCGAACAAAGAGAAAATAAATCGAGTTGCTACAAAGAGATTCGTATTTCGCCGCTGAGAAAGAATGAGCGAAAGCAAAAAAAAAAAAAGACATTTTGGAAGCCAAAGCAAAAAAATGAATACGCTCCTGGGTGGGCTCGAACCACCAGCCTTCCGGTTAACAGCCGAACGCGCTAACCAATTGCGCCACAAGAGCACATCAGTTTAACTTGTTGAATTGATATTGTCTCTGGGTGATTGTACAATATGATCTTCAAATGAATCCATGCCTTCAATAGGTAGTTCAGATTCTTCTTGAAGACGAGCAAACTTACCAAAACCACCTTGTACTGTATGTTCAATACGATAATATTTTTTACGACGCACAAGTATAAGTAATCCAAGAAATATAGTACCAAAAAGCACGACAAATAATAAAATAAAACCAATCCAACGTGTTTTTGGTGTTTGACGAGTACCATTAGTTTGATTATTTGATGACGAGTTCCCCTAAAAAAATGAAAGGAAAAATACATAGAAGAAAAGAACTATATAAATTTCTTTTTATGATATTAGCTGCTACAAATAATCGTTTTTTTTTTCATTTCATATTCGAATATTTTTTTTTACTATTATACCAATTGTTAAGGAGTGTCTTCGAACATAAGACACTATTAGATCAACAATGAAGTAATATCTCAGAATTTCCTGAGTTTTCTTTATATGTTGTGTATGGTAATGAGTTTCGTAACTTCCGCAATTTCTACCTCAATGTGATCATTTTTTTAAAGACTGTTATTTAAAATACTGATGAATTTTCTTCGAAAAAATTACTTTTGTCTTTCGAAATGAGGAAATTTTGACATTGTGCTCTTCTAATCATAATTATTAATGATTTCTACTACTATATAAGAAATTTTCTTTAATTAAATATAAAATATCTAGACACCCTAAACAGAGCTCTATTTTATCCTTTATGATATTTATTGTTAGCAAAATGTTAGTCGAGTGCATTTTGTGCGCCAACAATGGAATGTCTTAATATTTTTCTCAATAGTAGAGCTCGAAAAGTTCTATTGCGTAATGTATCTAATAATTTTGGCTCATGTGAAAAATCAATCACTTTCAATCAAAATTCATCATTTTTCCTATTATTCATCAGATATGTTTAAAGGTACCGTCGTATTTTTTCATAAATTATATTTTCTCGATTGCTTAAAATTTTTTTGTGTAGCTACTCTTTTTTATTGTGAGTGACTTGATAATATGTAATTATAAGGTCAGATCTTCGATATTTATAGTGTTAACAGAAAAGATGATACACATTCAGACAGAGGCAACTTCGATAGAAAATAGGATTAAAAAAAAAAGGGATGTATTTCCAGATCTTGCCTGAGAAAAGTTAACTTTTATCCGAAATAAACCTTCTATTCGCCATCAGCATGCAAAATTACACCAAAAAAAACATATTTTTCATCTTGAAATATTTCTTATGAAAATTTCACTATCTTTCTACTCAACTATTTATCACAAAAGTTTTATCCTGTGCTCCCAGTACGGATAAAATTTCGATCGGAAATATTTTTTCTGGCGTAATTTTGTATGCTAACTGCCAATATGAGGTTTATTTCTGATAAAAGTCAATTTGTCGGAATCAAAATCTAGAGATACTTTTTTTTTAAATATTATTTTCTATGAAAACTTTCTCTTAATATGTATCACCTTTTTTCTTCACACTAAAAATATAGAAGATCTGGTTTAATAATTTTGTATTATCTCGCCATCCACAACAAAAAAAAAAGTAGCTACACAAGGAAACTTTAAGCAGCCGAGAAAATATAATTTATGAAAAATACGATGGTATCTTTAAACATATCTTATGAATGATAGGAAAAGATGATTCTTGATCGAAAGTGATTGATTTTCCGCATGAATCAAAATTGTTAAATACATTAGACGACAGAACTTATTGAGTTTAATCATTTGTGAAAATATCATGACATTCTGTTGTTGTAGTATAAATTGTTCTCAACTAACATTTTGCTAACAAAATGTCGAAAGAGTACGATAGGATTCTGTTCGATGTATTAATATATTTTACATTTAATTAAAGAAAATTTCTGAAATTTCTTATATAGTAGTAGAAATCACTAATAATTATGATTAGAAGAGCACAATGTCAAAATTTCCTCATTTCGAAAGACAAAAGTAATTTTTTTCGAAGAAAATCCATCAACTTTTCAAATAATAGTCTTAGAAAAAATGATCACATTGAGATAGAAATTATGAAAGTTACTAAACTCATTACCATCTGCAACATGTCAAAAAAAGAACTCAGAAAATTTTGAGATATTACTCTATCGTCAATGTCTAAGTCTCTCAAATACTTACTCGTAAAAAACTACTATCTTTTTTTGTAATAAATTTCGTATCACGACTAGCTGTTGTACATGTTGTACGAAAATGAAGTGATCGTGGTCGTTCTGGATGAGTACAAGTACCATTTGTACACGTTTCACGTGCTCGACATTGACTATTATTTGAACATGTTTCACCTGTACCATTATATGGTACATTAATAAATATGTAAACATCAGTTGCATGAATATCTCCATTAAGTAAAGCTCGAAAAAGGGATTCTGGAGTACGAAAAAATTTTCGTTCAGAACTTAATTCTTTACCATAAATAATTTCATCTGGTCCCTTTAATTCACCAAGTTTTTTAACAATAGCGTCAAGTAATGCAGGATAAAAACCAGTAGGTGACTTATCATTATAATTTCCATCATGTACACCGAAATCCTTTGGTCCTAAACCACCAATTATAAGTTTTGATTTATTAAATAATATATGACGTAAATAACCCGTTGTATTATCACGATTAGGAACAGGTAATGGTGTTTCTTGAAGACATGTCTCAACTCGAATTAAATTTGTTCGATTATTCTGTGTGAGTGATGTTTCATGCGTACCGTCTCTTTGTACATCAGCTATAGCGGCATTAAGTGCATCAAATAGATCAGTACTTGACTCATTTTTCGATACATAAGGTGCTAATGTAGGATCATATTCAGGTGCAAGAAGCATTGCTTGTGGTGAAACCAGTAATGATGAAAATACATGATAGTTTGGTGCTATGTCTTCAGCTAATATACCAGTTGAAACACCGGCTAGAAGAAGAAAAGATTTATTCAATGTCATGAATTAGATTATGAAAAAATATATATTACATACCAATAATTGTTTCATTCTCAATAGCTTTTAACATCTCGGTTTTATTTTCAAAAAGTACACGTTCTACATTATTTAGTAGATATCGTTTGATAACTTCAAAATTAGCCTGTGAAAGAAATCCAACTGAATACTTTTTTAATGGAGACTGTTTAAGTAGAGTAAAAAATTCATCAAGATTTGTTATATCACATTGAATGATTGACAATGCAAATAAAATAATTGATAATGATAAATATATTCTATGCATATTGAAATAATCTAAAAAGAATCAAATATAAGTTATTAACAAAGACGTTTGTTTACCACGAAACAAAAAAAGAAAACGAATAAATATGTATGTAAAACAATATTAATTAATGACAACAAAAGCTTTACAGACGAAAAAAAAATAATAATAATCATAATTTATCTTGTCTTTTTTCCTTTTTTTAAGTACGAAATAGAATTTTTCAATAATGAGATTAATAAACAAAAAAACATAATAATTTTTATCTAGATAAAATTCCAACGAAAATAATAAATAATAAAACTAATACAACAACACCAATCAATATTAATTTAAATCTTAAACCACGTTGTTTATGTTCAACAGCTTTAGTTAAATGTTTATTTCCTTGTTCAATTTGAACAGCAGTATTCTCAATATTATATTCAATTTGATCAAGAATTGTTCCCTAAAATATTATTTTAATTCATAGAAAAAAAAATCTAACAAGAGAACATTTCTCAGTGTCAAACTCGCTTTTGTCTCAGGACTATGTGCGCCATATAGGTTTTAATGAACTGTGAATATTCTGACAAGAATTCAGGATAATAGCTTATTACTCTTGAGATACTGTATTTTTTAGCAAAATGCCGTAATCTTCCTTAGAAAAACTGAGTTTCAAATTTCGACTTGAAACTTTCCATAGAGACAGTTCTTAATGAAAATAGCTTATTGTGAAAGTTTCAGATTTTTCGATTGCGCCTATTTTGAAATAAGAATATCGAAACGCGCTGTTTTATATAAACGGCGTGGAAAAAACATGTTTTTACCATAGCCGTATCTAAGAATAGAAACAATCAAAAGATCTGAAACTTTTATAATAAACTATTCTCATTAAGACTTGTCTCTATGCAAAGTTTCAAGTCGAAATCTGAAACACAATTTTCCTGACCGGGATTTCGGCATTCTGCTAAAAACTACAGTATTTCAGCAATAATTATCTATTAATCTGAACTCTTTTCAAAATATTCATAGCTCATTAGA